CCGGACGAGTAACTCGGACGTGTATGTGCTTACACTGCAACAGTGTATCACTTGCCGACATTGGACGTTGCCGGTATTCTTTTCTATTTTTCTATTTTCAATATCCATAGTCGTTTAGATAGATAACAACACTGACAGAAACAACAGAATAAAGACAGAATGATTAAATTAAACTATAAATACACTCAATTTGCACTGTAGACGCCGGCAGTCGGGCGAGAAATCCCAAGTTCGGATTCGACGGTTGATCGGCCGTTTTCGTGCGTTATCGTACGATGACGGTCGTGTTTGTGTAAGCGCTCTCTTTGTTTTACAAGTGTTTGATTCGATCGTCCGAGTTCGGCCGTCAGCGCCCAAGCAAACTTCCGCCGATGACGGATTAGGTTGCGAAGCGTATGATGGAATGTCTGACCCTGTTATTACACTAGCTCTATATCTAGAAAATCTTGCTCCAAGAAACTTCGCTGCAGTGACCGTGAGCTGTTTGAGCAAGTTCACATATTTATTTGACTGGACACTTTTGTTACATTCATTAATAACGAAAATAAAAAATAATATATTGTGATCAAACGAACTTCCAAGTGAATTTCGATCATTATTATAACGACTTGCTTTACTTCAAGATATGATTATAATAATGTAATTTCCCTGCTTACTTGGTAACTTCGCACGTATTTTAAAGATTTTTTAAAGCGGTTGAGCGACGTACTTCCGGTATGGCTGCCTTGTGTTGGCACTTTGACGTAAGCTCATTTTTGTTAGAGTCAAGTTAACGATATGATATACAAAACTTTCTGTATATTTGGGATCTTATGTATCAGGGAGGGAGGGAGCTCATATTTTACCAGACCAGAACACAGCAGTACCGGCACTGCTATTTGACTGATGAAATAGGTAAGAGGGTGGTATCTCACAGGAAAATGAGTTTCACCACCTAGATATAATGCCTTGTTTTAGTTTTAACTGTACTTGATGTTTCTGTATTGTGGTGTACAAAAAAGAATAAATAAATAAATAAATGAATATAATGAAATTAGTTAAAAGAGAAACAATTTTGTAAAAACTGTATACGTTTTGACATCATTTAATTATATAATATAGGACGGCTCCTTGGCGCAGTGGCTTAGCAATGAGTGGCTGCGCTGGGGGCCGCGGGTTCGAATTCCGCACGGAACAAGTATTTGTATCGCCTACAAGTGATTGTTCCGGGTCTGGATGTTTTTCCTTGTGCAAGTTATGTTTGTGAACTGCCCCCACGATACAAGAGACAATCCTAGTATGGGGGGTAACGTTTTAAAAAAAATATTATCAGTGCAATATACCTACACCAAAATAGTAAGTATGAACTTATTTATGTTATAAAGGGATACTTTAAAAGACAATTTCAAGAACAACTCAAAGGTTTATTGATCCAATGCCCACAAGTATAAAACTCTATGTTAGCCTATGGCTCTACGACCTTTGCTTTAAATAGAGAGCTTTGTTTGGTTTTGTAGTTCTAGTCACGAGGAATATTAACCAAAATGCAGAGCTCGATGCATGCAGGTGGAAAAACTTCTATTATTGCAAATCGCATTACCTTTTTATGTTTAATCGGTTTGATAAAATAGAAAACATCTTTCATTCCAGCCTGAACTAATCTAGGCTGAAAGCTAAAAGTGAATAAATTACTAACTCCTCAAAAGAATCTAAAATCAAAATCTTTCAGTGAAGTGCTATTTGTAACATATTATTCACTTTTGTGTTTCTAGAATTTTTAATAAAAATGCATAAACTTTTAGTAAATCAAAATGTGAATGCCTTAAGCGCCATTTATACAGAAGTTTTCACAAATAACCTTATTACTATTACTTCTAATTTTCCAATAATTTTATGTCGAACATCAATAAAAAAAGTTTGGAAAACCCAAAAGCGCACGACTCATAATGCTCATATGATAGTCAAAAATTGTAGAAAAAAATCTCAATTAACAATAGAAAATATTTTTTTAATTTAACTATGTTATTATTATTGAGATTCAAAACTTTTTTTATTTTTAATTGTAAAAACTTTTAATATAATTTTAAACTTTAATATTACTTTAATTTTTAGGTGTTTGTACTCAATCATTATCGTAGAACCTAATCCTTTTTTACCCGACTCGTTAATATTTTTTCTCATCAACATTATTTCGTTTTTTAAAAGTTTTTCATATAATCATAACGAGTATTTTAATTCAGTATTCACCAGAGTACACCCAGGTTACTGTATACAGTCCAACATGTATAAGTATATTTATATATAAAGTATAAACCCTACGCACTTTTACCGAAACAATATATTGTAATTAAAATCTGTAAAATATTTTGCATGCAAAATAGAAATTTTTAGTATAAAATTGAATTTGCGGGGTAATTCCAGTTAATAAATTCAATGTTTTCCATGTAGCCTTTACCTATTATTATAAATATTAATTTATATAGAATAAACTACAATTCCTACAGAATATCCCTTTAGAATATTATTAAAAACAAAGCATAATATAACGTAATTAATATATTCTGTAGCACGCAAACTCCACACACAATAGGTTTTCCCCGCCACGCAGCTGGTAATAAATAAATTGGAGCACATTTATTTGAGAACTGTTAATTAAAATTGAGAAGTTACCGCTAACTAGAACGCTAATGGGAAGTATCACGTTTAAAACGTAGTAATATATTAAATACTATTTCACGATAAACAAAATTTATTTTTAAGAATTGTATTATACTTAAATTGACTTATTCTATTACATTTAAATTCCCGTCTATTAGAGTGCTTTTCAATACTCATAGTCAAAAAGGGGAGGGGGGGAATGATTGACCTTTTAATGTCACAGTCGTTAGCCAGTGTGGTTAGCTCCCAAGTTTCTGCTTTTTACAATCAATTTTGGTAAAACTCCAATCTAATCTATAATACATCTCCCGTTTCATTTTTGTCTGTCGTCTTTTACATCGAATTCACGACTTATATGCTCGCCTTCTATGCCTACTAGGGAAGGTGCGTATTTACGCGACCAGGTTTTTATACCAGGTATTTATTTACAAGTACGCCGACCAAGTGCCTACCCAAAATACTCGCAAGACTTCAAAGTATGACACTACGCGATTCTGCTCCTTATTTATATTGTATTACGGATCAATGTTCTATCTATTTACTTTAAATGATTGGAAGTATTTTTTTTTTGTAAACGCGATTGTGCTCTTTATATGTATATGGAAACAGATCAATATTATATGCAAGTATTTTTCTTACAAGTTTTGAAAGTTTAAACTTTTAAAGGTTTGGAAGTTTTTTTTGTAAACCTTGTGTTCTTTATTTGTATATAGTTACAGATCAATATTCTATGCAAGCATTTTCGTTTCATAGTTTGGTTAAATATTTCGAACTACTTTAGCATAATATGCGATTGCACTCCTTATTTATATGGTCTTACGGATCAATTTTCGATGCAGAAAGAAAATACTTGAAAGTATCTCAAGCCCTGGTTTTTTGGCGCTGGTATTTGAAGGTGGACGTACTTGCAAGCCCTGGTACTCGATTTTGCAAGTACGACCCATCTCTAATGCCTACAACTGTTAGGCTACTGGCGTTTCAATTCCGCTAAGTAATGCGCCCGACATTTGAAAAACTCTTACACGGTGTTGAGATCAATAATAAAGATCAAAAGGGATCCTTCTTAGAACATATGAAATCTTATTTAATACTGTATATTTAATACCATATACTATACAAATGATTTGTAACTTTGTATACAAACCGGGGGTATCCATTAATTATATAAGGTGTTTGGGGAACGGTGGCAGATTGCCGATCCGAATCTCACCCAATCTCACGTGGAGAAGGGAGTGTCTCGACATATCACGTAATATTCCGCAAGAAAGATTGTAAAATTTGAAAAATTGAATCAATTTAAGTAAAATATGGTTAAATCTTACACAATAATATTTATCGCGTTTTGGTATGCGAACTCAATAAATTATAAAAATTAAGAAATTATGTTTTTTCTTTATTAAACCCAACACAATCAAGCACAGATAACGTATACAAAGTTGAAACTAAACATATGCACCATGATACGCATAAATTTAGAAAAATCTCACGTGTGCTTTAGGGGGTCAAGCCATATCTCACGACATCTCACCAGGAAAGTGGGAGGGTAGAAAAATCGTCATAACCGCCTCACGTAATTAACGGACGCTCCCAAAGTAAACGATCAAACTGAAGACTGCATATTGTTTTTTGATTTTTGCCACCTGATATATTTCTAGTCAAACAATCGAAACAAGGTTTAGATTAGATGCCGTGTAGGTACAGTAGCTGCGACATTACAGTAAAAAAGTTATAAATAATTTGTTTTAACCTAATACAACGTTATCGATTCGATACATATCGATTGTTGTGTCCCTTGATGTAGATCTGAGAAATGAAATTGTTTTACTATAAATTTTCTTGATGTTGTGACTGACACTCACCATTTGTGTTGGTGCTATAACATGATACGATCAATAAATTACATTTTACAGTTTTAGTCACATACACACGGACAGAGACATATTATATATATATATATATATATATATATATATATATATATATATATATATATATATATATATATACCCTAACTTATATAACCTAAACAACAATCATTTGACTTTGGAAAGAGAATTTCAAATCCATATGTTAAGCATAAATTTACTATAAAAATCATATTTACAATTTTTGTTACATTCTTGGATGATAAATTGTAAATAACAATACATTTGTTATTAAATAGTGTAAATCCAGTAATATTATCAGGTTAATTTTATAGAATAAATTAGATTATACATTATATGCATATTTTATTTAACAGCTACAAATACTCGTATCGAATTTAGGCGTCTAATAATTCACGATTTTGTTCTTTTTGCCTCTTAATAGCTCTTTGATAACCTAAAGGTGTATCCACTTCGGGATAATTGTTGCTCATCTCCCTATCTCTTCATGTACTCGTGTAAACCTATTTTATCATTTGGGTCAATAATAGCTAAATACACGATAACGCAAACAGATAAAAGAAAACCGGCGACGAAAGCTGAAGTGTTATTCCGATAAGATTCTAGTAAACTGTCAAAAAATGTCCAGGATTTGGACTTGTCCTGCCACTCCGAATCCCTGTTCATTTCATGGATCTTTTGTGAGTCTGCCTCATTTGTACCACTGCTACTACTTTTGGTACTTTCATCACTGTCATATGAAACCCTATGTATCTGGCCCGGTGTGTCTTCCTCCAATTCGGCGTATGCGTACATAAGCGCCTTTTGCTTCTCACTTAACGTTTTTGGTACCTGAATTTTTATGTGAACATAGTGATCTCCATAGCCATGCTGGCTAACCCTTTTCATTCCTTTCCGCGACAAGCGTATTGTACTGTGTGATGACGTACCCGGCGTTATCTGTAGTGTATGATCTTCATATAAGCCTTGTATCCAACAGTGCCACCTAATACTGCCTGGGATACAGAAATTGTGCAATCCGTGTGAACATCGGGCCCATCTCGTTTCAAGTAATTTGACTCTTCTACCTTAAAGGTTACAAACACTTCATTTTCCCCAACAGCCATACGCACAGTCTGTCCATTCACAACTCCCGCGGGCACGGGAACCTATTTGCTTTGCACCGATTGACCCTTTCCTTCACATTCAACACATAGAAATTTGATTAACGTTCTTGATCCATGACAATGTCGACAAGTGGAACGCATCACAAAAGGACCTCTGGAGAAAGTCTCCATCAGTCGTCCATTCCAGAGCCATTGCAATATGTACACTTAATTGCTTAAGTTCTAGGCTCACATCTAGATCCAGGCATTTAGGGCAAGTGTCAACAACATTTAAATTTATTTCTTTGTTTACATGGCGATGGATTTATATGGCGCTTGAAGGGTTAAAACTATTTTAAGAAAAGTTAAAATAGTCTGAAATTCGAATATTATCGTCTTAGGTTATAGTCGAGTAATCAAATTAGAGTCGGTCTATATTTTTTCTTGCATAAGAAAACTCCGTGTTGTGTCGACGAACTAATTAATATGGGAAATACAGACTAAACTTCCGAGCTGTTTAGAGTCGAGTATAATCGGACGACACAAATACATCAAACGTAATAAACACGACAATGTTTACAAGATCCAGTCTCGCCCGCTGCGCACTACAGTAACTATATGATGAATCAAGCCCACGCAGAAGGCCATGCCTACACGTGACTAAGTTAGAATACATCAGATAAACAAACAACACAAACGTAAACTACTCAATAACTAAATATTCCTGGAAAATTTTATTATTACAGTCAATTCCTTATTCTCAGAGTTACTTTGTACCAAAGACAAAGAAAATAATTTACGGAACCCGATCAATCATGAGAATTGTGATACATTTTATTACGTGGTAGAACCATGCTGCAGTTATATTAGTAGTACAGTTGGGTTGGGTCGGCTCGACCGAGGAAGGACCACGCTCTCACAGAATACCATCGTCAAATAGTAGCTTAATGCTGCTGTGTTTCGTATGGTGAGTGTGGAGAACCGGAAACCCTTTTTACTGGAAACGAGGCAATCCATTTTAATCCTTACGGGTGACAACGCATCTGCATTTTGATTCGTAATCGAGGATAGATGTAGATGTCTATGGGCCGCAGCAACCACTTACCACCAGGTGGACTGTGTGCTCGTTTGCCATTCTATCCAATAAACAGAAAACATGGAATGTTAAGCCACTGAAACCACGTTAGTAAAAAAATACAAAATCATATCATCAATCAATAATTAAACTACCTACATTAAAAACAACAAAGATAACGATGAATTGTATATATATAAATTAGCGTTATGAGTAGGTACTGATATTTTTTGTATACAAAGCATGACGCTAAATAATAAAAAATGCAAATTCCTAACCAAAAGTTGTATTTATTAAAAGTAGCATGACCAAACAAATAAGAAATTAGTCGTTATTCATAACGTGGGTGTCATTTGGTATTCTGTGAAATGAATGAAAACTTTAAAACTTTAAATAAACCGCGGGCTGCGTTAGTATATAAGCCAAATTGTTCATGCCAAAACGTGCAATGATTTAACACTGAATTTTTTGGTCTGTTTCTAAAGTTTATCATGTACAAAATTTTAAAACACATTAGTTAAAACATAAGACAATAGATAATGTAAAAATTAATTTATAGTAACCAAATAGTAACATTATAAATACCATTTACGTGAAAGGCGCAATGCTGCAACCAAATAGCACTTGAAGATCGTAAATGACACACGTCCTGGGGAGAGCCACACATACTTTTACTACTTCAACAGAATACCACAATGCTATTGTTTCGTACACTGAAGCCTAGTTACACAGCCACAACAATTTGCAAGCAAGAACAAGCTGACAAAAGAGGCATTTTAGTCCTCAGCAGCGATGATGAACTTATTTTCTTATCGAGGAATGGACCAGAGTGAACACTTTTTATTTAATTAAGGCATGTTCATTAAATAAAAAGTGCAAAAGTGCAAGCTCTTTTGAAAGTCAACAAATAAAATACACCGAAATACACCGGTTCGCAAAAACCAAGACCCCAGAGAAAATGGGCAAAAAATCTCTCCTTACTTTATTTTTAATGCCATGTTAAAATTTAATTTACAGTTACAACTTATAATAAACTAAAACGATATCAAAAGCTTATAAATATTTTTAAAAAAAGAAACTTATTACAAAAATATTATCTGTAGTATAAAATTATATCAGCCACGGGTTTGCAAGTGCAGAATAGGACTTGTTCGCAAATATAACTGTCCTTAATATATTGATCTATTTTAAAGTAGCCTTTTTAAACGAATTTCCATAACAAGCTACTAAAATTTTGTACCCGATTTTGCACTATATTTTTTCGGGATGTTTAAAATTTTATAAGTTTAAAAAAGAACTTTCCAGATTTAGCCAATCTAACTTTAGAAACGTCTAGCGTATCACCGTAACGTATTCTTCAAGGAATGGTCTATTACATTTTTTTATTAAATAAGCAGGCAGGTGTTATAGAATTATTATTATTATTTCCACCTATTAAAACAGACATAAATTAGATCAAAATTGTCGTTAAATGTCTGAATCTAAATATACCAGAGAATTAATATATCTAAATGCTTCCTTCTAAATAGCATTAGAAGGCACAAAAGTGACCACTCAACCTTGAACAAATGCCTTCAATGCGGATAGCTTGACCTTGGTCTTGAGGCCTGATTCGCGCTCACTCAACAGCAATTATTGAGTTGCTACATATTTTTGCAATCCGCTTACACTTTCCGGAATCAGTGACTGACCAACCGGTTCTCCGAAGAATGTAGGCGCGATGATGTAAGTTATCTGCGTAATACTTTTTACTAGAAATAACTAATAACTAACACAAACAGTACGTACGTGCAAACACGCATCGATTACATAACACGCGTAATTTATTTTAGGCTTGAAACATCTTGGGAATCAAAACACGAAACTAATTCCATTTTCAAATGTACCGTATATTAGAATTACAAGAACACTTTTATATAATAATTAAAAAAAATGTCAAACGGTTTTCTTTAAAGCTATAATTACTCGTAGTACATTACAAATGTAAAAGTTAAATCGAAAAAGATTCAAATCCGACTCTAACAGCACAGTAGTATATCACTTTTCGCTTTACTAGGAGTTTTCTTCCTCACACGACGTCCTAGTAATTATCTACCACCGGCCATTTTTCCGGACCGATACGTCTTAGTGACCATCAAAAAAACAGCTTACTTCTTTCTGAAAGGCCGGAAAACGCACCTACAATTCCTTTGGTGTTAGAGTTGTTTATGGGCGTTGGTAGTCACTTATCTTTAAGTGAGCCGCATGCCGTTTGCCCCCTATTCTATAAAAAAAAAATGCAGTGCACTGCAAAATAAAAACAAACGACGGCAAAGAATCTACACGAGAAGCAATTTATGACGAAATGTTTTGCAAGACCTCGATTTCAATCATCATAACAATCGTTTATGCAACTGCGAACTGTTTCCTCATTTCAATATACACACAAATTCTTTACAAATTCTATAGTATTATGAAAGGCACATTGGGGCTATACGCCGTTTCAAATTAGATTAAAGTGTAGGGAAAAGGTAATATATATTTTAATCGTAATGTTTAAAATATATTTAGTTTTTGGGTGGTAGACCCCCATTTTAATGGACGCGAACGCAAGCGCGAGCGCACGTGCACACATACGCCCACGCACGCATGTACGCATGCACGCCTGCACGCAACACGCACATACACAACACACCACAATAGTAGTACAACTGTAGATTCGGACTCAAGAGCCCTCAACGTGTGAGCATATAATATTCATAATCGCAAAAATCGGGTCTGTTACACTACTACACTACTACTTGTAATAAATAAAACTAAATTTCTGATTACATACAATTTCTACTACGACTCTAAAACGTAACATCGGAGACATGCGGTTTTTTAATACATACTGCGCAGTTTATCAGTTCGATTTTTTTTTAATTCGACAATTGCCCCCATGGGTAACCACCAGAGAAATTATAATTTAAAGGTTTGGTTGCCACCTTTGGTCCTAAGCTAAACTTTATTAACAGCATTGAGGAGGGTTAATACTGCCTCTAATTAATGATTGCCATAAAAGCTTTTAGTTATAAAGGTTGATCTTGTAATGAAAATACACATTTATTTACTATTGTGAAGCAATTAAGGTAACAGTAGCGTGTAGCAATTAAGGTCATTCTGTCATGTAGTGAAATATTGTTGTCGCACGCTTAATAGAATCAAACCAGAAGCTAATAAAAATAAATAGCTGCAAATGTCGAGACGATGGCCGTTAAGTGGCGGTCGCAAAAATACCCACTACCTAATATGGGTGTCGTTAGAGGCAAAATAAATGAAACAGAAGATGGGCAACAGCGTCTTTCTGCACAGGTGATGATGACAGGAGACGAGGTCTAAGAACATTAAAAAAGATAATCAAATTATTAACGAGCAGTCTTATAAAATTCTTTAATTTTTTATATCTATGTATAGATACATATGTATGTATAGATACATATGTATGTATAGAGCCGTGGTAGCTCAGATGGTTAGCGCTCGCTGTAAATATAATAGAACGCGAGAAACCCGGGTTCGATCCCCGCCGGCACCAATGAAATTGTTAATTGCAATTTTAAGTGCTGATATACCACGTGCTCGGCGGTGAAGGAAAACATCGTGAGGAAACTTGCATG